GGGACCAGCAATGACGCCAAACAAGAAGAAAGCAGAGTCTAAGAGAGGCATGAGTAAGCTAATTCCTTTTCCTCCGACAGCTCTTGTGCTGTCAAATCCATTTTCTTCCTCGAGAACTCATCAATGGGAAGGCCTGGCAGGATATGAGAGAAACCAATGTTAGATACATCCAATAACATCAGTATAAGTGCAAAGAAAGTGATAACAAAATGGCTTAAATTGTAATACTTAAGTCATCCATGATTTTGAAACTGTCATATCCAAAGTCCTGCCAGTTGTCTCCGGGTTAAGGTTTGACAAAAAATAGGGCATACTTGTTTGATTCTATCTCAAACTAATGCCTGATGAAAGGAATTCCACCACTTATTGTGCCAAATGGACTGGTCTTTTGCTTCTCTCCTAATATTTCACTGAACCACTACATAAATTACGATAAAACAGCAATTCTCAATCTATCATTGCAACAGATTAGATCTTCTACGGTGAACAGGTGATTAGTGAGTTAACGTCCAATTCCAAGTTGCATTGCTAGTAAGAATAGTAAATCAGGTTAGTGAAAAACTAACAGTGACAAGGAATTAAAGCTTGCAATTATGAAATCATGGTCAAATCAATTTAAGATCCGCAATATTAAAGACAAAAATTTGTTCGAGAAATGATAGAAAGTTTCAGCTCCATTCTCTCCCCGTAGAGTAACCAAACTCTTACCTTGAACTATCTTCCACTCCCCATCGCGGCAAGTGACAGGGAATGAATAAATTAGCCCAGCTGGTACGTTGTAGGAGCCGTCAGAGTATACTCCCATTGATACCCAGGTGCCCTGAATTTAGATTAGAAGAATGAAGTTAGCAGATTTTTTTTTCCCCTTTTTTCTTGGGAGGTTGCTTTAAAAACAAAACCGAACCAACCTCTGGAGTTCCAAGTACCCAATTACGAATATGGTCACAGGCAGCACTTGCAGCAGATAGTGCACTTGAAAGCTTTCTAGCTTTAATAATTGCAGCACCTCGTTGTTGAACAGTCGTTATGAATTCCCCATTCAACCTTCGAAATAGAAACTTGCGTCAATCCTTCAAGACTTCAACAAATTCAAAAATGTATCGAGTAAAGGCGGAGAGGGAATGGAGGTGCAAATGTTAAGCTTATAAGTATTCATCTAACCGCATACCATGCATCATCAGCAACAAGCTCACGGACAGGCTTTTCCCCGGCTGGGGTTTTAACTGTTGCATGGTTGACGTCAGGATATTGAGTTGAAGAATGATTACCCCAGATTATAACATTTTTCACATCAGAAACTTGAACATTCAGTCTTTCAGAAATCTGACCCAATGCCCTGTTGATCCAATCTAGTCAAACAAGTAATGTTTTTCTCAGGAATAGATGGTGCAAATTCCTTCAAGATCAATGCATTGGTGTTTGCAGGGTTAGCAACAACCAAAACCTACACAAGATGAAAGCCAAAAATAAAGATTATCAATATAATATTTTTAAAAGAAATGAAATTCAATCAATACAAGCACAGAGATAAATTAATCAAGATGAATCTCATGGACTTGGCTACATAGGATTAGATTCTCTTCCTCTAAATGCCAACTAATCCAAAAGGGAAAACCTGACGAAAAATAAGACGTATTTTACAAAATCCTAAGGCCACAGCCAAGTTCTTTATAGCAAACTTTTTTGTTTCTCCGTAGACTAATTACCTTGCAGTTTGCAGCTGCATGCTTTTCAAGTGCAGAAGCCTGGGACTTATAGATAGACACATTTTTTGACATCACGTCTTTTCTCTCCATACCTTCTTTTCTGGGAAACCCACCAACCATTACAGCAACATTGACTCCAGTGCATGCCTCAACTACGTCAGTTGTAGCTACAACACCTGGAACAAGTAATCTCATGAGACCTCAGAATCTACTCTAATGTATCAACAACAAAAAGCTTTATCCTATTAACTGAGGTCAACTAAATGGATCACCATTGGACCACAGAATCTGGTGTATCACTTCAACAAAATTCCAAGATGATTGCCTGCTAAATTCATAAACTTTTCACAGGGAAGAAAAGCCTAACCTTTAAGAAGTGGGAATGCAGCATCCACTAACTCCATTTTAACCCCATTCAGTGACTCTGCCGCTGGTGGAATGTCAAGCATGTGGAGAATCACAGGCTGGTCAGGACCCAGCATGACTCCCCTAGCAATCATAGGGACAAGAGCATATCCAATTTGTCCTGTAATGGTCAAAGCATCATGTCAGCCTAGCACAAAAGTATAGCGCATCGGAACCACTATTGGATTGAACGGCGTTATTGGCATTTCTTTCTCGGTGCTATGAGTTACATAACTTACATATAGGAATTTTATCACAAATTCTAAGAGAGAAACTATTGAGTCATAACTGTAAAAACTGCCAAACTTCATTCAGAGTGAAGTCTCACTGAGTGAGCAATAAGAATTCAACTGCCAAAGTCCAAACTGAGCATGGCAGTCCAACATGTTTCTTATTCATTCCAAAAAATAAATTAAAAAATAAACCTGCTGGTGCAGCCCGTGAAAAAGAGTTGCCAGAGGATCTCGACACTGTACTCCCTATAAGTGATGCGAATGCGACCATGTGCGGTATAAACCAAGACACAGGCTACTATGAAACAGAAAATACAACAAAATGTCCACACGAAAGAAATCTAAAAAAAAAATAAGAACTTGTACATTCGTATTCTTCCCCGTGATCAAGAATACCAATCACCTGGTCTAAAAAATCCACAGGCGCACGTCATCAGAGGCTCAGATCTAAACCATATCAGATCGAGATCGAATATGCAATAGAAACAGCATTTTAACACAAACCCATCATATGGAATCGGCAGATAAACCTAAAACTAGGAACGATCGTGCAGAAAACCAACAGTAAATGATGATCTGAAGCACAGGAGCACTGATGCGATAATCTGGATGGATATCGTACCTGCAGCACCGGTGACGAGAACACAAACTGGTTCTTTGGCCATTGATTTTGGCTGGGAGAAATGGAGCAGATCAACGAGAAAGAAGAGTGACTTCCTCTGCTTCTCGTGAAGGGTAATAAGAGAGTGAATAATGAATCAGCGAGAAATGGAGGATCTTGGAATCTATTCTGGTCGATGCCATGGGAAGAGAACCAATTGTCCGATTTGTAGGGGCAATTTGTGCAAATTCTAGCCTTCCACGTCGTTTCGAAATCGAGTAAACTATTTTTTTTTAACAAAGAAAAACTATATTTTAAAAAACAAATTAATAACAACATCAACTTTTTTCCGCATACAACTATTTGGATTTAAAAAAAGTATATTTTAAATGTATTTTTTTAGAATTATCCAAATATATCACAAATGTTTTTTTTTTAAAATCCCTTTTTTTGGTCAACTGCACCAAATGATTTGAAGGCTTTTTCAGTGGAAAATTGATTTGGTTAGTTTGGACTTAGCCTCGCCAAACAAACATGATTTTGGTGGATTGTTAGAGTAAAAATGGCTTTGCATTAGTTTTAGTCCACATTGAGCAGGCCAAGATTTTTGAAGTGTAACGAAACTTGTAAATTCTTCACAACCTATTTTTTATAGTTTAACAAAAAGACATAATCTTTTACTTCATAATAAATTAATATTTAAATTTTTATTATGACATGTGTTCATACCAAATAGTATCACAAACAGAATTGACTCTCATGAAAGAACACATACACAAGAAAAATAGTTTGATGCAATTAATATTTGTTTGCATGTATTTTCTTAAAATTTATATACTTAAATGGAAAACAATTTGGATGAACATTCCCCCACCCACCCCCCAAACATAGGGATATATATAGAGATATATCCTAAACACAAGGTAGCAGCATTACACTCGCGTAACTGAACTGATTAAGCTTTGTGGTTGTAGCAAAAAAGTTCGGCCAACAAGACCTATGATGAAAAGGAAAAAGAATTACAAAGATGTAAAAAGGATGATTAGTAGGTTAGAAAAATGACTTAGAGAGTCCAAATAATACTCTTAAGTCTTAATGTCATGTTGTTTATGAAATAAAATCATGTGCCGAGTTTCTCAAACTTATTATCAATTCCATTTGAAACTATCAATAATTTATGTAAAAAGAAAAAGAAAAAAGAAATTGTCAATAATTTTTTTTGGCAAAAATATCAATTAATTGAAACTTTGATAATGTGCAATGGCAATGTTTTCTTGAGGGGCGGGGGAATCCCCTTCCCTAGAGAAGGCTAAAACTTGCACTGCGCTCTTGGTGTGTAATGTCTTCTATTTTCTTACATGTTGATGAGAATTGTTGACGGAATTAAAAGCATAAAAAACCTTCCCCAATCCATTTAGAATTATCTGTCATCATGATCAAAATGTTATGGATATGATTTTCAAAAGCTTCCAAAAGGCATGTTTGGAAATATACATTTAATGCTTGTTTGAATGTATATCCAAAATGCCCTTATTTTGTTATATTATATTCCCTCCATCCAGAAATAAATCTCATTTTTAAATAAAATATTATTTATTTTTAAACTAATCCTATATTTTCATATTTATCTCTATTTAATAAAGTGTTTCATTCTAAAATAAATATAAAATAATTTATTTAAAAGGGACACTTTAAAAAAATGATAATAATTATACTTTAAAAAATAAAAATATAAATGCTTTATATTTTTTAACATCTAACTCCTTAAAAAATACCTTGCATTTTTTAATAAAGAGAGTATTGTTAATTTGTTTTATTTTAGCTAGCATATTTTATTTTACTGTCCAATTTGAATGCAATTCTTCGTCCATATTAAGTTTACTGCTAACCAAATGGAGTGTAATTTTGGGTTAGCATGTGAGCCTATACTTTTTGCCCCCAATTCCTATTGGCATAATCAAATTCATTCTTCGTTGGATCAATTTTGGTTTAGACGCGCACCAAACAGTGCCACTAGGAGAACACAAGTAAGACACCTACTACTACTTCATTGCATACACAATTTATTTATCAGATTAAAACAACGGAAACCACAGCGCAATTCTCCCTACTGTATGCCAACAAAGAATGACAACAAATGGAAGAAGCCCAAAAATGAAAAAGAAAGAAAGATCTCACAAAAACCTAGTAATTTTCCTGCACAATCTTCACACATCTTTCCAAAAGCCTTGCATTTGTACGGTTACTTTTTCTTTCAGAGACTGAACCCAAATTGAAGAAAACCAAAACTAAAACCAAACCTCCTGCGCATCAATATGTCGAATTATTGAAGGTAGAAGTTTTTCAGTATCTACTATCAAATTCTCAGGTAAACACTAAAAAAGTTATACCTAAATTTTGTCCAATAATTAATCAGTTCAGGTACTGCGAGCTAGCCTCTCTTGGAATTCAAGCAAAGACCTCTCCTTCTGAAGCTTCATGTCCTCGTGAAACTTCTTGATGAACTCCTCTGCCTTCTCATCCACCTGCAAATTCGGTGACTTAGCCACCACGACCTTCCATGCATCCTCCAAAGTATCTAACCCATTGCTGCTCTTTCCTTTTCCACCCAAATCCTTATTTCCCATTTCTGCTTTGCCTTTGCTTCTCATTTCCCCTTTAGCCACATACCCAGAAGCAGAGAAAGAAGAAGACGGAGATGAAGGCTCTGCAAAAAGGTCATCTATACGTATGGCGCTGAAGTTCTTGCTTTGAACATGGTGTTGAGAAGAGGAGGAGTTATAATAAGAATAAGGTGTAGTGGGAAGAGAACGATGACGACGACGAGCTTTGGCAGAGATGAAGTGACGCAGAGAATGGAAGGTGGAAACGAGGCGTTGAATTGTGGTTCTGATGGCTCTTGGAATGTTGAGCTCATTGACTTTGGATTGGACTCTGTTGGAGAAGCTCCTCCATGCCCTCTTTGCTGGTTGAAGCTTTTTTATTGGTCTTAGGCGAGACATCAACGTTTTAGGAAGATATGAAAGAGACGATTATGATGATTCTGTGAATGAAATAAGTTTTCTGAGGAGAAAAGAGAGATGGAAAGGGAAGAAGATGAAGAGAATGTTGAAGATGTTCCTTATGAAGCAAGTTTTGATGATGCCCCACTAGTTTTATAATTCCTTTCTTCCTACCACGATCTTTGTTTTTCACCATAAAAACATACCATACTATCCAAAATTTCCCAAGATAATCTGTAAAAGAAGTCATTTCCCCCCTAAATTACACATTTAATGTGATATGATAATGATATTCAATGTCACATGGCATCTGTGTCGTATATGGAGAAATACTTGTCTTGTAGAATATTTTGCTAGCGCCCTGTTATGTTGCAAAGCTACACTGACTTTTTATACCATGTTGGCACATTACATTTCCACAAAATCACAGAAATGCCACTATTAGATTTGCATGGCAGCAAAATTTGAATCATAGAGCCAGTCATAGAGAGGAATGGCAAAACTTGCAATTCATTAAATCTAAAAGGTCGAAGTTTCCAAGTCAAAGCCAATCACTTTCGGCAAAATAGACAGCATAAAAAGCAACCTTGGGTGCTAAGGTTAGTGAGAATATAAGGGAAAGCTCAAAGCTCAGTCCTACAACGCCCACCAATATTGGCTTTTCCATGTGCATTGCCTGCACGCAACTTTTGGTTGGGTTCGTGTGGGCTCTAGTTCTATTTATTTTCTCCTGTAAAGGCAATTTTAATACATTTACATAATTGTGAACAATTGTGAAATAAAAATTGCTTTTTTGCTGTCCTGTCTCGATCTAATTATAGTATAATGGGCACACCATGCTTTCAATGTTCAAAGTCTGGCGATGAGATTTTGAATGTTAGTTGTCAGACTTGAAGGTTGAGAATAGACCAACGCTAGCCGGCCCTTAAATACTCAGACCAATTTTCCAGTCACAGGAACAATAAGATCAGGCTTTGTTTGGCAGTCACTGTATTCCAATAAGGGAATTAGTCACCAACATGCGATCGCTTTGAAAGTGACAACCAAACATGTGTAGTTTGGAATCTGGATAGTTCCTTTAACCCCCTGAGGTGATTATGTGTCTGTAATTAATAACATAAAGTTATCAGTTTCCTTTTCTGTTGGAAGATCTCGTACCTCAGTGGTAGAAAAGATAGCCTTTCAACTAAAGCACCTGTGATTCTCTCCAGAAGTTGATCCATGTGCAGTTTTCCAGGAAAACCCTGTCTTGCTATCCACTTTACTTTTTCATCAAAACTGAAAATGAAAATACAACAAATTTCCTGCCTTATTGAAATTATTATTTTATCATTGGTTTGTTATCTTGCTGTGATGTTCTGACTTTAGATCCACCAAAAAAAAGTTCAAACTATATCAACCTTTTTTGTCTTGATTTTCTGTTCTCCTACACCCGGCTAATTCTTTGGGAGAATTTTGAACTAAGGCATAGACAATACAATTATTGACCTTAGTTCAATTATTAATAGATAATATAATAATTATTTTTTTTCTATAGGCTTGAACGTAATTCTTCCTAATTCTTTTGGAGAATTACACTTAGGTCCAGTTGGAATTGGGGGTACAATAAAAAAAATTAAATTTTAAAGTTTTTTAATTTCAATCACAGATCAAATGACGTCATTTAAATTAGAGTAGATATAACTTTATCTTTACACTTGCAACCTTAAAGATCTTTTTTGTTTGGATCTAAGAAATTAAATCTCCATGACCAGCTCTCTCTATCAGTATTCACATGAATTCAAACAACATGCTTGTGCTTCAAACTTTTAACGTTTGTTTGTTTGTCACCTAAAGAAGTCATGATTTCCTTCTTTTCTCGCATGGCATCTCACCACTTTTCCATTAGTGTTTTTGAAAAACCCTAGCCTCTATCTTATATAGAAGTTATTTATCAAATTTTTGAAGATATATTTGAATTTAATAAGGATTAATTTTGAAGATTTAATTTCTTCATTAACCCTTATCAATTTCAAAATCAAATTAAATAGGTTAGTTTAAATTTAGATCTATCCAATAGATTAATTTAAACTATTTTATTTAATCCATTTAAGAGCCAACCAAAATCAATTTAATTTATTTTCATGAATTAAATTTAAGATATCATATCTTATAAGATTTTTTTCAACTTGACTTTATCTCATAAATTCAAATTTCAAAAATTATATGATATCTTTCTATGTCATATAAGTTATTAAATGTATCCTATCTTATAGAAATAAATTTAATGCTAACACAATATAATATAATATAATATACAAATATATGCATTGTATTATATAATATTGAATTTGAATTTTATATTATATACACATATAAATATTTATCACATAAATATATATATATATATATATATATATAAACACACACAAATATAAAATCTATTCATCCTAAATTAAAATGTTGTATTCCTTCCTTATCTATATATCAACTAGGACGCCTTATCTATAAAATGTTGTATTCGTTGAATCTGGATATTATAGCTCTAATTAGGTCATTATTGTGTGCAACCCTGTAGGCCTATATAAAGTTAGTTGGAGGCCAATAGTGTCATTAGTCCACAAGTAGCAAGCAAAACATTGCAATTATCTAAATCACATAGGGTTCAGTGATTTGATATAACCTGTAATACAACCATATTACATCCCTTTTATCATATGATATTTTGATCAAGTATGAGGCATGAAAATATCATCCTCTTTTATGTGACTATTACTTTCTTAATTTCTAAGTAGACTGACTATAGAAATGAAAACTTTTTTTTCATTGTAGCATAGCCATGCATTTCTCAATCTCACTCATCAAGGGGTTTAGTGGCATCTCTCTACTAATGTGAGGGACAATTTTTACCTTGACTATTCACATTCCTCTACATGAAATCCACAAAATTCAATCATAGCCTTTATAATCACCCAATTCAAAGTTACTTTTGACTAAGTCAAAGCTTAACAATCATCATGGAGAAGTTTATGATGATCTTTGATCAAATGGCTTGGTAATACGTTTATATATGAGATAAGTTTATGACTTGATTCATGCAGTTTTTTCATGGCGAATCGGTCCAACATTTTATACTCTTATAAGTACCCATGATTTTGGTTCGTATCACCATACATCAATTAAAATTATACTAGTCTTCATTTTTATTCCCATAAAGGTGATCGATCAGGATAGTCATTACAATTTATCCTATGATATAATTACGAAAGTGAACATACAACTAGTATGATAATAAAGGACAAATTCATTATAAATTACAATGAATGAATGTCCTAGGGCACAATTTCTAATAAGTCCTACAGAAGAGAATTAATTATTATAAAATCTATTGACAATAGTCTTAGTTCAGTTGTTAATGGATCTTATAGTAATTAATTATTTTCTATGAGATTTTAATATAATTCTCCCTAAGTCTTTTCTTGTTATGGTGATGAATAGGAACCATCTTCTACGCCGAAGTATAAACTGTCACTTTCACTTGTAAATTTATAATCAGAAAATACTTTAATACATTAAAAAAATAAAGCAATCCTAACCAACCATTTAAATATATTAATTATTAAATATAATCATCAATAAGCCCACAATAAACCGGTCGTTCTATCACATTTTATGATATCACATGTGAGTTGTGACATGTGAGACCACTTATTTATCAAAAAATTGCTTACTATATTGACAAGATTTAGTCTTTAAATTTTAATTTCAATTTACTTGTTATACCAAAAGCATATCATGCACAAACAAATACCATTGTTTGAGCTTTGAACCAATGAGCGCGCAGCTCAGGCAACCGTGCTAATTTAACTAGTCTCGGCTCAAGCCTTGTGTATACAGTCATATTAAATATTTGTTAGGAGAGTTTTTTTTTTTTTTAAAATCTGTTATCCTTTCTGGCTCGACCTGCATTTAGCGGGTGTCTGATGTGGCTACCGGATTGTAAGAATTGTAGCCATCGTGGTGGCGTGCTTTGAAATTAGCTTCTTTCTAACGGATGTGTCAAGCAAGCCATGCACCAATTATTGGACAACACGATGGCCATATCCGACTTCATCCCGTCCTGTACTCCACTTGTTGCTCTAGCATGCATGTGAAGAAATTAATAATTCTTGAAAAAATTATACTTCCATCTCCCAAAAAAGAATTTATTATCAAGAAATCTATCGAAATTTACAAAATATTCTCAATTCTCAAATATTGTACATTTACAATTTGACAAAAAGTATTTACAAATTGATCAATGGACAATTACAACTTAGTATTACAAGTTTTTTTTTTCAAAGTGTAAATACTCATTAGCTTGTTATAAATATCGTTTGTCAAGTTATAAATAGTTAGAATTTAAAACTTAAAAGTATTTTATAAATTTTATAAGACTTGTCAATAATAAATTTTCTTTTGTGAGACTTAATTATAATTTTGCCATAATTTTTTTGTTTGGCCATTTTCTTCGTTTCAATGAAAATCTATTGGCGGGCTAATACTTGATTAAATATCAGTGTTGGCAAGTCCTCATGACATGTGCTTAAGTCACTCACATTTCTTCGGCACAGAAATTTTCGGCAGAAAAGTTTCAGCTTGGTTGTTCCTTTTTTTTTTTTTTTTGCTACAGAGCTTTGTTGTCTTTGAAGGAAGCTTTGGCAAATAAATTACTAGCACAACGTATGATTGGCGTATCAATAACTAAATATAATAGTATAAAATCTTCACAGCCAACTATGGTTACTGAGATGGAGTCCAAATTCGGGGCAAACGAGGAACGTACGTTCACAGGCTTTGCATTTGATGCCACATGTATCTAGAAGAGAGCCACATCAGATTTATCAATAGCCATGTCAGAAGACAACAACCAAGTCATCAAGACTAGCTTTCATTTATAATGGTCTGGCAGGGACAAAATTGCCGAATTTGAAAAGTATGAAAGCAAAATTGCACTAATAAAAAAATTAAAGAAATCAAAATAAAATATAACTAAAAGAACCAAAAGCACATGTAAGCTTAACATGCAAGCAAGGAAACAAACAAATGAATTATAAAAAAGGGAATACTTCTACAGGCAAAGACATTGAGGAAGGTACATCACCGATCTTGAGATGCAACTAAGCAGGAAGTACTCACTGAGGCCTTTTCAAAAGTAATAAGATCTTTTGACCCATAAAGCAGCCACCACTTCTGGCATAATTTTGGAGGGTGTAATGAACTCGTCATCTGGCGACGCCTTAAGCTCTTTAAACTGACGTTTACTCGTCCTCAACTTCTCGCGTCTCATACCACCATGAAACTGGGCCAAGACCATCATGATCCAATGAACCCTATAAAATAGACAACTTGATAAGGCATGCTTCCCATAATGAAAGACGTGATGAGTCACACTTCCAAGTTTCAATAACATGCATTGCCGGAGAGGGTCCTACCATGGGCGGCACTATATTGAAGCCAAGAGGGGCAAATGCAACCCTTGAGCTTGGAGAAAAGTACAAGAAAAGTTCATGTATTTCAATATTTCGCACCCCTTAATCCAAATATTTTGCACCTTTGACCAAACTTTAAAGATTTTAAGTTCAAAAAACTTTTAATTATTAATTTGAACAATGTTGCACCCAATAGCTCAGGATCCTAGTATCGCCACTGGATTCTACCCTATGGCTTTTATTGCTAGTAGAATTGAAGTCTTCTGCTAATACACAGTTTTCTGCATCAAGGTGCTAGTATATAAAATAGTAATTATAAATTTTTCTTTCCCCAAGGTTGTCTCAAACTCATTTGGTTTGCGAAATGAAAAGGCATGAAGAAAGGGAATAAAATTAAAAAGAAAAAGTAACCTTTTAAATATAAAATGTCATATGTGTTCTTAAATAAAAATTATTAGAACAAGAAATAGTTCTTATTAAGTAATAAAGAGATATAATATATATTTCACATCTAAATTGTCATGCAATGGAAAGGTATTCCTTTTCCTAAGTGCTAACCAAAGAGGGGGAAATATTTAAATATGCCAACAACTCAATGTATACAAAGATAACAAAATGTCTAAGCAAAGCCACTATATATCTTTCTCATCCCCCTTTTCTCCATCAATCAATCATTATCATTACTTACTATAAAGGTTAAAATAAATACAGTAACCACCATAGGGGCAAATAGCTTTGATTCTTTTGGCTGCTCTTCTGGAATTGAAGGGTAACTCACATTTTGAAAGCATTTGATCTGTGATATTGCAACTCGCAATTAGCATATTCTTACATTCCAAGCAGTTAGTTGAAATAATGCTAAAGTAGAAGGAAGTGAACCTCATCAGTATCATCAATAGGACATGATTGATCATTAAAATCCCAAAACCACGTGCCTTTATTGCTGTAGTTTGAATAGAAGCAGATAAGTATGGCGTTCAAAATTCAGATAAAAACGCCTATTAATCTCAACAAAGCAGAAGACTATTTGAAGGCACCGTATCACAGAAGGTTTAAAGGTCATCTCAAATTTTAGATGAACTGTGCAAGCAACATCACCTATTTTTTGCTTCGCCGTCAAAATGGGATGGATTGGGCATGTGATGCACTGGCACATAAATGTCACCAAAGAATCCAAGTGATACTGTCAAACAGAGGTTAACATTACAACTACGAAGGAATTATTAATAAATATCCCTACCACTGAACAACAAGAAATGATAACATGATGCAAACATGTGAAAAAAGGAGCTACATGATGTGAGAAACATTATGCAAAAAAGGAAATAAAGAAGCACAAATAGACATTAGATTTGATCAGATTCACAGTTTAACACGAAGGTTTATTTTAATTACTGCCTTTGACACTCTTCTGGAATTTCAACCACACAAAAACTCACTCTTTTTAAATTCAGAGTCTTTTCTCACTCTGACAAATAAAGAAAAAAGAAAGAAATAGCACAGATATCGGGCAAGAAGTTCAGGACAAAAACCTCATAATGCTAGAGTGGAGATTATGTAAAAGTCACTAACCACCAGAAACATGCAACATTTAGAAAGGGATTACTGAGGGAGTAAAAGAATGAAAACAAATACTCCCTCCATTCTAAATTATAAGAAAATTTTAAATAAAATTTCACATACCAATAAAACTCATTAAATATACTTTACAATATTACTTTTTCAAAACAAAAAATAAACTTTTAAGAATTCACTTTATTTAATACTTCATTGATGAAAGAATATTGAAGAGAAAAAATATATGAAAAGGGTAATATTGAAGAAATATCATTAATGAAACTTTATTTTTATTAAAGTGTCTTATATTTTGAGACGTTGACTCTTCTCTCAAAGTGTTTTATAACTTGGGACGGAAGAAGTATCATACTTTGCACCCGCTAGACAGGTTAGCAAAAACATCATCTGTATGTTGTACTTTGGTACTAACAGGAGTCAGCAAGTTAGAAGTGAAAAAGGCTCTGCAAAAAAATAAATGAGAGCAGCACATATCTAGAGAAAAAAATTAAGAAATTAGACAGCAACTAAACGATGCAATTTAGGTGAAAATTGCAATCAAGAAGTAGAGGAAAATCATGGGCATACAGCGTAAACCATCAGCATCAGAACTTTAGCAATTCAGCAGTAATGATGTCCCCTATAAATGGACGGAACATGATTAAAGTAAACACAACAAAGTCAACACATCATTAAAAAAAACTAATTTTTTATCAACTAATTGCATATAAAAGTATTATTTATGTGTCTACCAATCACAATTTTGATTGTCTTTTGAACATCAGTTTTCTTTCTTTCCTCGTAATGCTTATGTAAGGCCAAAATAATCAGTACAGGCTATCGTTTATCAAATATTCAATCCCACAGCAAAATGCACCACCAAGACCTAAACCTATATCAAATGATGAAAAGCCTCAAGGCCAAATGTAGAGTTCTCAAGTTAAGAACATATACCGTATAGGTCGCAGCACCATCGTCAGGGAAGATAAACCCGCCCTCAATGGATCTAATGTCATAGACATAAATGCACAGCCTAAAATTTGCAATAACCTTTATCATCACAGAAAACCATATCAGCATCAGCACTGAAAATTTAATAAATTAAACTGCACAAAAGAAGTTCATAAGTGAAAATCAAAATGACAGCCCATCAAATCTTATCCAAGAAAAGTTTCTCAAGCTCCTTATGTATAGACTCCTGAATTGGAAGGCTAAGAAGATGAGGAGGTATGCGCAATGTGTGCTCAATTCTACTGAGGTAGAACATGAATCTGACACCAGGCTGAACCCAATGGAGAGGAAGTCAATGTTAACAATCAGGTACACTAGAGCGGTGGCAGTCAGATACAACTAAGCCTACTAGTGACAGCAAAAGCTCGAGAAGGGCATGGTCAATTGGTGTCAGACAAACATTAGGATAATCAAGTTGGATGATGAAACTCACACAAAGTAATACAAGCTAGAGTCACATAACGGATTAGATCAGGAGAAGAAAAATGAAACTAACTAGCGATTATCCAGATAGAATCAATGGCACTGGCAGCATGACATTCCTAAAAAATTAATGATAAATTGTTGTCAATTTCCAAACATACATTTGAAGGCAGATGGTTAGTGCAGAGACCTGAGGCTAAGGGCCGGGGGCTAAATATTAAGAAAATAATTAATAATTTCAAAAATAAAAGTAGTTCGATGCTAAAGCCGTCAAACAAAAGTTCTAATGTACTAATCTCTTGACAACTTAGTGGTTCATATCTCCTAACTTCAACTGATTATTAACTTGCATGGAAGTGCTAAATAATCTATTTCCACTGACTGTTATGAGCATAAATCCAGATAGAAAGCCCCATCCCAAAAGACTAGATGAGTCCCTTAAATTTATAAACCCTACTTTCTTGGGAGGCAGGCTTCCTCATGTGGAACTCATAACATAGTCCCGCGGAATAAATGCATCAAATTCAATCAGCATTTTGAAAATTTCAGTATACCATCTGGGGACTGTTGTCAAGGTCATATTGATCACCAAGTTTTCCAGGCCACAGCTTCTCTTATCAATCCATATCAAATTGCTTCATTAGGACAGGGGCAAATGAATTTTATCACATTTGAAACAATTCTTAAATGACAAAAGATACAAAGCAAGAAAAAAAAGAGGAGAAATATTTGCCAACTACACTCGCAAGTCTCGAATGTAAAATTCAAGAAACGGACAGATATCCAGTTTCAAGGAAACCAATGAAAGATCAAGAAGAAAAGACTTGAACTGGAAATACATTCTCACCTCTCCAGTAAGAAGATTGGCAATAGCCATTCAGCCGTGAATTGGAAAAACGATACCTTTAGCTTTCGGAAAAAGACTGATTGCCGTTACCGCCGTTTTGCTGTGGGATTTCGACTTCAGGGAAGGGAGGGTAATCATGTGCAGGGAATCTAGCTGGCAGAAATCGGACCACGATAGTCAGATTGTTTCTAATGCGTTCCCCTCCACTGCCTCTCCACTGAAGCAACACGGCACCGTTTGCCGCGAAATTTGAGGAGCGGGAAAAAAATGATTGGATTGTTAAAAAGGGCAAAGTGTACTCTCAACTCTCGGGACAATTTTTAAGAGACTGAATTTTTAAAAATAGGATGGAGGTTGAAAATTAGCTATCAAATATTTTTAAAAAATACTAAGTAACTTATATTATAAATGATATGAGATAAATTCTTAACTTTTAAAAATAAAATATCTAACATTTACTGTTAATTTCACTTGATAAATGTTAGCTTTCCAAGTGAGCCTACAAAATTTTGATTAAAAAATAACACATGACACCCCACCTCAACAAATAATTATTTTTTAGGGTGAAGATGCAAATTTAATTATGAATTATTTTTTAAGGATCATTAAGTAACTTTTATCGTAAGATGATACAAAAAAATTATCAACTATTAAAATTGAATTGTATAGTACCTTCTTATTAATTTTCATCAAACGTCATTTATTTTCATACTTATGAAATTCACAACATATCAATCTTTTTAATTTTTTTACCTTCATTCTTGGTCTCAGCTTGAGAAAAGAGAAGCTCAAAGAATTCTTATTTGAAGACATGCACGAGGATGACACCAGTGAAGTAGAAGAGCAAAAGGAAGTAGAAAAAAGTTTCGTTTGAATCTTTGTGGCAATTCAAGCGAAATAGCAATTTGTGTTGTGATGTTATTACATGTGGAAGAAGCTTGCTTCAAACTTAATTTAGCCACTAATTATTTATGCACCTATAGTAGCATCATAAATTCAGTCATGCGTTTTTTTATATAAAATGAAGCAATTGAATCAAGTTTCTTCCACACGTAATAATATTATAATTCAAACTGCTACTTCACTTGAATTGCATATATTTAAATGAAACTTTATATCCTCCCTCTTCTTCTTCTACTTCGTTGGCGCTATCCTCGTAAATATAATTAAATAATAACTTTTTAAACCTCTGCTTCTTAATATAAGATTAAGAATGAATGTAAGAGCATTAGAGGGCTTAACATGTTGTAGGTTTTTAAGAAAATAAATTATATTTGGCCAAAATTAATGGGAAGATGTTACATTGTTTGTTTTTTTATAGTTGATAATTTTTTTTATACCACCCGATAGTAAAAGCTACCTAATGCTTCTCGAAAAAATAATTTATGATTAAATTTACACCTTTATCTTATGTTGAGGTAGAGTGCCATATATCAATTTTCAATCAAAGGTAGGCTCATATAGGGAGCTAACGCCTGTCAAGTGAAATTAAAGGTAGGTGCTAAATACTCCGTTTTTTAAAGTTAGTAATTTATTTTATACTATCTCATAATATAAACTACTCAGTGTTTCTAAAAAAATAGTTGATAACTAAATTTGCACCTTTATCATAAAATATAACATATTTGTAAAAAATATTTTTAATAAGTAAATAATTTATATTTATTTCTAAATGAAATATCTTATTAAATAAAAATAAATATAAAATATAATTTTAGTTTGAATAAAGTTAGCTAATTAGTTAATTGGGGTAAAATTTAATTAAAATTATCTTATATTTTTTAATGAAAATATTTTTTTTGTTTGAGTAATTTTGTTATGATTTGTGAAGAAAAAAGTAAACAATTTTTTTTATCTACTCCCGTTTATCCTTTTTTTTTTTTTACCAGCCCATGTATCCTTATATGATAAATAGACATTTTTAGAACAAGATATATTATTCTTAATATATGATATTTGATGAGGCGTGAATTATATTTTTTTAATATTATTTCTATTTAAATTTAGCGACTACGATTTTATGAGAGGCAATGCAGTGAAAATTTAAAAAAAAATTCAAACGTGAATAAAACAAAAATTTATTATTTTTACTCTTTCCGTTCAAAAATATAAAGTATTCTTAATCAAATCTCACTCTCCAATAAAGTAGTTACTTACTTTTCAACTAACCCTATCTTTTTACATTCATCCTTATTAAACACTCTATAATAAATATAAAGTTACTATCAATAGGGGCAGTTTTAAAAAAAAGTAATAATTATATCTCAAAAGACTAAAAATATCTCACATTTTTAAATATTTAATTTTTTAAAAAATGCATTGCATTTTTCAACAGAGGGAGTATATAAAATTAATAATTTAATAACATCCTTTTAATTTTGATGACATAGTTACAGGTACTTTGTGATCAAAAGGAGTACATTTATTATTATCTTTATAGAATTTATCATTAACATTTTATAAAGTAATCATTTATTTCATATTTTTTAATAAAAATATCTTATTAAAAAGGAAAAAATGAAAAGAAATATCTTCTCAACTTACTAACATAGTTTTCTTCCATCTAATTTTTTTTTGGTAAATAAATAATCAAGCAAGCAGTGTTCACGTTCAGTGCTCATCAAATTAGGAGCAATCTTGATATTTTATTTTTAACCTAAAATGATCTTTGCTGATCATTGAAAATAATTTTTTAAATATATTTAATGATATATTTATTAAAATAAAATTTATAAAAGATATAAAAGATTTTAATAAGTCTGTTAATTATCAATCTAGTTAGTATAAATTTAATTTAAATAGTTTAATTTAATACTGAGAAATTTTATAATTTTATAATTTAACTATCCAAATATACTCTAAGTAATTTAAATATAACTTAAATAATGTAATTTAATATTTATAAATTAATTATTTAAATATATTTTAAATAATTCAGATTTAATATTAAAAATTTTTATATTAATAATATAATATTAAAAATATTTAAAAATTAATTTAAACATGAGAAATCATTTTAAGCTGAAATGAAAATAAAATTAGTTGATTATTGAGAAGGAAATTTCCGAAAAGTCAAAAAAAAAAAAAAGACAACCCAACGGTCAATGGGTCATCTGCGCCGTTCATTAAATTATTAACATAATAATTATATAAACTGTGAATTACAGAGAGACTCAAAGGGATGCAGAGAAAGCGGTAATGGGAAGGGAAGAAGATGTGAAGGTAGTGAGCTTCTGGGAGAGCCTGTTTGGGAGGAGGGTAGAGTGGGCTCTGAAGCTGAAGGGCGTCGAGTACGAATACATAGAAGAAGATATCTTCAACAAAAGTAGCCTTCTTCTAAAGCTGAATCCGGTTCACAAGAAGGTCCCGGTTCTGCTTCATCACCACAAACCACTCATCGAATCATCCCTCATCCTTGAATACATCGACGAAACTTGGATTCACTGTCCGTTGCTCCCTCCTCAGCCTTACCAGAAAGCCCTCGCTCGCTTTTGGTCTCAGTTTGCTGAAGAAAAGGTGAAATTGAAAACTCAGTTCTTTGCCTCAACATCTTTAAGTAACAGTTTCTGCTGAAATTGTTTTGGTTTGAATCTGGAGTAGCTTCCTTCATGATTCTGAATTTTGCTAACAGATTCTGGAATCCGCGTGGATCGCTATGTGCTTCAGTGGGGACGAAAAGGAAAGTGCGTTGCAGGTAGGAAGGGAATCGATGCAGAAACTTGAGGATGAGATTGGAGGTAAGAAATTCTTTGGAGGGGACAACATAGGCTACTTGGACATCGCACTGGGTTGGATCTTCTACTGGCTCCCTGTTTGGGAACAAGTCGGGTCCTTTCAATTTTTAGGCCCTCTGAAATTTCCGGATATTGTTGCTTGGACTGCCAATTTTCTCAATCACCCCATTATTAAGGATTCCTTACCCCCGAGAGATGAGCTCCTCTTCTATTATCACCATCGCAGATCTCAGCTATCATCTACTAGCTAGTCATGACTAGCTACTTCGAGCTTTATTCGCTCTGGCTATCTATAAAGTAAGGAAAATAAGAGAGACGTAAATCCATAATCCATATAATACGTAAGTGGGGCATAGGTGGGGTGTAATGTTATAATGTATCATATTTGCGAGCACTCTGAGTTTGACACATGCTGGATACTGATGGAACTTATCTCAGTAATGGTTATTAGTGCTTTATGCATCGAAGTCTGTAGGTATATTGTCATTAAAACTCAAACTGACTGACCGAATTATATGTTCTATATATTTTAATGGTAATCTCAGCCGGTAAGACATTATGGTATTATTACATTCTCTTAATTATATATAACTACAATGGACAGCCCAACAATTAATACCGGAAAGACATTACTACGACAATATCTTTATATATTAGAGGAGGATAGGAAGTTAATCAAGCCCCTTTAAAAGATACACTTTTTATTCAAGCAGCTACATAAGCAGCTAACAAGTTAATTAGTGGGACAAACACGAAGTACACAGCAAACTATAGATTGGCTAGCCTCAGAAGTACGTACTCCATTGTAGCTTTATTCCTTACTGTACATAAACACACTAGGGAGTGGGCTGATGAAAGTGAGTTCTTTTCTAGTGTTCTTCAAACGCATCACTTCCTCCCTGCTCATCCGAAACGAGTTCATCAGAACAGCGTCCGGCGTGGCGTGGACCAAGGACAGCTCTCCGGCCAGCGGGTTGATCATTGGGTTATCGCTGGTTTTAAGGGCCACCCAGTCAAATGCGTGGGCCCCGCCTTTCTTCACCACCACGTAGTGCTGTGGGACCACCAACACCTGACCATCCCTCACCTCTCCGTCGAAAAACCTCCGTCCATTCTCCCCCACCACCTGGATCCACCCGCCCCCCCTCGTGCAGTATATCACCGCGTGACAGTTTACATTGTAGTGAGGCACCATGATAGCATCCTGCGTCGTCCAAAACATTCATAATTAATTAATTAATCAGTTTCTTGTTTGCGTTCATTACGCTTTGTTATATGTGAATAATTTTACCTTGTAGAGGACACCACGGTCCACGCCAAGTCGGAGGTACTCGAGGATAGGCATGTTGGGAGTGTTAAGGCTAGTGAGGTGGCCTCCACGTGGGTTATATTTATCAGCGTGCATTCTTGGCTCACCTAGTGGATGTACATATGCAAGAGAACACAATGTTTCGTCCACTCCGTTTGTGGTTTTTCCACCA